TTTTGGGAAACATTGACTTTCCAGCTGTCACAGTATTCTTCATTGATGCACATGTTCCACCCCAAGTTCTACACTAACATGTCCCTGGAGAGATCTATTCTGCAGTCAAGAGTGGTCACACTTCCCTGGTAAAAGTCCCAGCAGACAGTTACATCAGTCATTGTAATCTATCCCATGGTAAAGAGCAGTGTCCTCGGGGTTGGGCTCAGAGGATGGTGGGCTGGGGAGGTTGAGAGGGTTCAGACTGCTGTCAGGTTTGGGTGTGGGATCCCAGGGGACACCTGCCATCTGTACAGGTGTGTTTTGTGGATCAAGCCTTTCCTGAGTCTTTGCTGCCTTTTATAGGGATCCATGGTCATGATCAACCTGACTGGACTGCACAGGGACCCCGCAGAGTGGACTACTCCAGACATGTTCAATCCGGAGCACTTTCTGGAGAATGGACAGTTTAAGAAAAGGGAAGCTTTTCTGCCTTTCTCAGCAGGTGAGATGTAATAAATACAAGTGTGGCGACCCAGAGTCCCTCTCTCAGCCCTTCTCTACTCTTCGTTGAGTGCTCTGCTCTTGTAGGAATGTCCTTGAAAAGCCCTGCACATCCTGACTCCCTCTTGATGTTGCTGCACCTCTGGGTTCCCTGGGGGGAGCATCACTAGGACTCATGTCCTTAATTCCTTAGTCCTGGTTTTACTCTGATGGAATTTCATTTCACGTTGTTCTGTCCCAAGAACACTGAGACAGAAGCTGAAACCCTGCTTGTTGTCCACAAAGAAGACTGGACACTTGCCATCATTTTGGAGTTCTTCAATATTTCAAGTTCTTTTTAAGGGTCACCCACTTACACAGAACTAGATCCAATTTCTAAGAATGGCGTGGGACGGGGCAGGAACGGGGCGGTGTCCTCTTCCTAATGGGCTTATAAGGTGCAGGCGTAACTATGTGGGATTCTACTCTATGAATGCTCCCCGAAGACATCATTTACCTTTTTAAATTCTAATCTGGTTAATAGATTTACATTGTACAGAACTTGAAAGACAAGAAGTAGGATGCAGTTAAAACTCTCATGTTTCCAAGGCAGCCAGATCCAGATGGGGGCTTTAACTCAGAACATTGTAAGATGTGTGGGAAAAATTCTTAGCATATTTCAGATATTGAGTTATATATTTTGCAGAGATGGTTTCAAGTAAACTCCCAGTTCCTTAGTTGTAGAAATATTTCCTGAGCACCTACTGTGTGTCAAGCATTCAGGCTTGAGGATAAGATAATGAATGAAGTAGAAAATAGAATCTCTCTCATACAGTATAATGTTGTAGTGTAACCTTACAAGGTTCAACTTCCTGTCACCACTTTGGAGATAAGGAAACTGAGGCTTAGCAGCAACAATATGGCATCTGAAGTCACAAGCTCAGGTGGCAGAGCTAGTACTCAGTGTAAACCGGGTTTATCAACAACTAAAGCCCATGCTTCTCCTACCAGTGTCTCCTAGGAAAGTTACTAAAGGCTACAGTGAATTGACACTCTGAAATTCATCACAGTTTTCCTATCATTACTTTAAACTTAAATATAGGTTAATTTTGAGACAGAATCATTGACTGATGACTCTACTAAGGCAGAAGAAGGGATGAATTGAAATTTGACCCGTGCTGCATGACACTGTCCTGAGTGTACCTGGACTGACTGTGATCAGATCTTCTTTGTCTATCTTCATCTGGTTCTATGTCACCTTTGCTCACAATGGACCAGTCACTTCGTAATAGGAAAGCAGATATGAGGTGAAGGAATACCTTCCAGTCTTCCTGTCTGCAAGGGCTTCAGGTGTCACATTACATTACAAAGTTTCACCTGTGTATTTCACGTGTTATATTTATTTTTCCCTTACTGTGTTTTTTGCTACTGAGGGTTGTATCACACTCTTAATCACAGAACTCATTTATAAGCAAATCATCTCGTTTAATTCTTACACCAACCTTGTTATTAGTAGTTAGACAAAAAATGGATCAGTTTCTCCTTTCTTAATATAAGGAAAGTACAATTAAGAGAGAGAGAGGTTTCTTTTCTTTTTAGGGAGGGGTAGGCAACTTTTATTTTATTTTACTTTTTAAATGATGTTTAGTCAGTTACAATCTGTCAATTTCTTGTTTACAGCACAATGTCCCAGTCATGCATATATATATATACATATATTCATTTTCATAGTTTTTCATTAAAGATTATTACAAGATACTGAATATAGTTCCATCTACTATACAGAAAATAATTTTTTATGCATTTTTATATATAGTGGTTAACATTTATGAATCTCAGACTCCAAATTTACCCCTTACCAGCTTCTTTCCACTGGTAACCATAAGACTATTGACTATGTCTGTGAGTCTGTTTTTGTTTTGTAGATAAGTTCATTAGTGTCCTCTTTTTTTCTATTTTCCTTTCTTTCTTTCTTTCTTTTTTTTTTTTTTAGATCCCACACATGAGTGATATCATGTGGTATTTTTCTTTCTCTTTCTGGCTTACTTCACTTAGAATGATGATTTCCAGGTGCATCAATGTTGTTGCAAATGACATTATTTTATTCTTTTTATGGCTGAGTAGTATTCCATTGTGTACATACACCACAACTTCTTTATCCAGTCATCTGTCAGTGGACATTTGGGTTGCTCCCATGTATTGGCTATTGTATACAGTGCTGCTATGAACACTGGAGTGCATGTATCTTTTTGAATTAGTGTTCCCTCTGGATATATGCCCAGGAGTGGGATTGGTGGATGATAGGGTAAGTCTATTTTTAGTTCTTTGAGGAATCTCCATACTGTTTTCCATAATGGCCGTAGGAGAGGGAGGAAATATGTTAAAATTTTTAACAAGGATTATAGAATTACAAATATCATTTATTCTGTTTATACTTTTCACACTTTTATTTCTTTTTGCAGTGAACTTGTATTACTTGGAAAATAAGTAAGGTATTAATACCATCACACACAGGAGCTGGTGATAGCAATGTGGGGTGAGAAGGGCATTCAGAAAGGGGAGGGGCAGCAGGAGACTGGAGCTGGTGTCAGAGCACAGAGGGGATGAGATGGGTCCTGTCCTACAAGGGAGGACCATGGCAGGGAGATTCCCAACCATTAAAGAGAGAAATCTGATGCAGGGAAAAGGTGCCTCCTCTGACATTTACTCACCTATACTTTTAATCAGTTTGCTTTTAAGAATTAAAAAATAGTAACAAAGGGTGTGGGTTTTCATCTTTGTAGTTTGCTATTGGATTATTGAAAGACTTTAGGCCAGACTCCACTTACTAGCCAACCCAGACCTCTCACTTCTTTCATCCACAGGCTGAACCTTCACACCTGTGCTCACCTGCCTGACCCTTGGAGGCACTGGAGTGTGTGACTGTGGATAGATGCTTCTGTGCCTTGGTTAACTCAGGTGGTTTTGGTCAAATAAGCCAAGTCCATTAAGCCCCAGGGCCCAGCAGGCCCTCCGTTTGCTCAGGTTTTGCAAGACGTGGTGGAAGGTTTCAGTCGTTGCTGGGCACAGACACCGCCTGGGAAATTAACTCGTCTTATGTTTTTGTCTTTCAGGAAAGCGGGTGTGCCTTGGAGAGCAGTTGGCCAGGTCCGAGTTGTTCATTTTCTTTACTTCCCTTGTGCAAAAATTCACCTTCAGGCCTCCAGACAATGAGAAGCTGAGTCTGAAGTTCAACACCTGCATGACGGTCTCCCCAGTCCCCTACCGCATCTGTGCTGTTCCCCGGGCATGAGGTTGTCCGGGAGGGCGGGGGAGGGAAAGCAAGAAGAAATCCCATGTCCCCTTGCCGCCATGGCACTGTTGCCCGCTGAGAAATGAAAAAACAGGGTGACCTGCCTCTGAGGAAGGTCCTAGGACTTGGACTCAGAGGAAACTGGATCCAAACCCCAGGTTTCCCATCCCCAGTGTAGCCCTGAGTGCATCAGTTATGTTGGGAGGGATTTGCATTTTTACCCATAGGATGAAAAGAGGGTAATGATTTTTCTCTAAAGGAAGAATCACTATAAAAATCAGAGTAAATAATGGACTTTACTGATCTGATAACCATAAGGCACATCATAAAATTTGTAGCTGTGACCTGCCTGCTTCCTGCTTCCTTCTTCCTTAGTCCTGGATTTGCTTCTGGTCTGTTGACGTGGCTCAGGTCAGAGTTTGCAAAATGGCGCATGAGAGTTAGCAGTCGGACCCTGGGGCAGCCACACGTCGGCCAGCAGGGCTCTCAAGGGGAGAGATTTTGTCCCTCCTTCCCTGCTATTATGTATCCTCTTCAGAGGAGTCAGCTGCAGGGGTTATAAGAACTGTTTCCTGACGCCCCCTGGCAGGGCCCGCCCGGGGTTCCCGTGCCTTACTGTAGAACTAGGGCCTCAAGACTGCTTTCCAGGGGCCCTTTGACTGGCGGCAACTGGATGCAGCTGAAACCGAGAAAGGAAGAGGCCCGTTTTCACCTCCTGTTACACGTGTGCTGTTCCGTCCACAGTGAGAGCCTCACAAATGCTCTTTCTCTTTCCGTGTGGAATGAAAGTGTAGGGGAATGACTCCCAGGACTGCTCAGGACCTTGCTGTGTCCCAAGGTCAGCCCTGTGACAGAGGGACAGGACAGGACTGGAAATGTCAGGAATTAGACAGAAGCTTCACAGCTCTGACCTACTTTATGAGG